ACTAAAAAAATCTAGGTATTCGTATTTTTTTAAAGAAAAAACTAGGGATTCAGATGTAAGGCCGATGATGGGCCGCTATTAACTTGCTAATGATGAATGTGCCAGTGGTATATTTACGTAACTAACTATTGCTATAAAAAAAACTATAGCCATCAACTGATGCAAGAGCAGTGTATTGCCCTTTTCTGAAAAAAGCAATATATTGTCCGTTGCCGGGGGAGTTCCGTCCCGCCTCCGGCCGGCGCTCTGCTGTGCTCGCCATTAATTGCAGCACAGTTTCTTTTTCTATTTCCATGATCTTACATTGTCTTCTTGCGGTTTTTCTGTTTTCTTTTTTCCTTTGTTTTGGTCAGTTTCTTTTGTTTTTTCTTCCTTTTTCTATTTTTTTGGTTTCCTTTGTTTATTTCTTTGGTTTTCACCTGCTTCTTTGTCTTTTATTTCCTTTTTCATTTTGTAAACAGATGTTACATTTTTCGTATGAATTGTATATTAGTTGTATAAATCTAGAAAAAATACACATGTTAACATTTTTCAAATACATGATCTTTTAAATATATGTTATAATCTTTACCTTTTTCATAAACATTGAATATTTTTCTTACACAACTAAAATATTTTGTAAACGTTTATCATTTCTTAAATACATGTTTTTTTTCAAAATACTTGGTTTGAACATCTTTCAAAAGTTTGCTAAATATCTTCAAATACAAGTTGAAAGAATTTTTTTATGATGTGCAACAAAAATTTAAACTATCCAAACATATTGTTTGAAACACGTGAACATTTTTTTAAACGTAAAATTCATTTTTTAATGGTAGCTTTTTTAAAATTACACGAACATTTATTTTACATTTTATAACATTTAGTCACATAAACTTGTTTGAAATTGCATGAACATTTTCTGAATGTCACATACCTGAATGGTACAAAGATTTTTAACACTGCATTTATGTTTTTTAATTTTGCAATGAATACTTTTAAAAAATAATAAAATTATGCTTTCATAATATTTGTGTTTAACATTTTTAAAACATAAACAAGAGTAAAAAAGGAAAATCACGCATACGAGATCAATGTAAGGGCCATGTGGTTCGTTGGCCGACCCACTATCGGTTCTCTCTAAGCAACACATTTTACTGTCTCACACAATATAGGGCATAGACGCACCCATAAACGGGCGATACCTGATAATTCTACACATTACTCTATCCAACAATCCATGCTTCAATCATTAAGCCCGACAGTGCGTGAGAGCTATGTCTCACTTATAGCGAGACGATAGTTGTTCTTGTATGAAGGGATTTCGCTCTTGCGTACAAATCGAGTTGGCCCATTTTATTCTCCTATCTCGCTCACTCGGATCGATCGATTATCACTACTGGCTCCATCACGTACTGGTTCGGTCCAATTTTATTTCTTTTTTGCCTCTTCCTTTTTTCTCTCTATGGCTTTATTTGCTTATCTTTGTTTTTTCATTTATTACACAATTCTTACCGGTTATCTTTGTTTGTTATCCATTATTTCTTTCTTTCTCAGTTTTCACAGGTTTTTTCTTTTCTTCCTTCCTTCCTTCAGTTTTTTGTTTCTCTAATGTTTGTCCTGTTTCTGCTTTTCTAGTTTTATTGGTTTGTCTTCGAATCCTCATTGATTTTTCACGGTTATATTCGGGTTTTCTTTTTTACTGCATTTCTTAGGTGTTTCTTTCTTTTCTTCGGAGTTCATCGCTTTTTTCGGTTTTGTTTGTTTGTTTCTTGTTTTCAGCGGTTTTTTATTTTCTCTCGGTTTTAACTTTTTTATTGTACACATTTTTACTATATATCTAATATATTTTGTGGTACAAATTTATCATTTTTGAAATACAGGATCAACATTGTTTAATACATGGCCAACATTTTAATATAAATTTAATGTTTTTCAAATCCTTGATTAACATTTTTAATACAAGATTAATATTTTTTTAAGCACATGTGTCATTATTTTTCTATACACATTTAACATTTTTGAAATTCTTCATTAACATTTTCTTCAAATATAAGTTTAATAATTTTTGAATACATGGTGAATATTTTTTATATAAACATTATCATTTTTCAAATGCTTGATTACTTTAAATACATGTTTATTATTTTTATTACATGGTGAACATTTTTTCTATAAACGTTTTAACATTTTTCAAATACAAGATTTTTTTTTGAATACATGGTCAACATTTTTCTAAACACATTCTAAAATTTCAAATGCTTGATTAAGATTTTCTAAATACAAGATTAACATTTTTAAATACATGGTCAACTTTTTTAGTACTCATTTAACATTTTGCAAATGCCAGATTAACAATTTTCAACTAAAAGTTTGACATTTTTAATACATGGTCAACATTTTCTCTATCGACATTTCACATTTTCAGATGCTTTATTAACATTTTTCAAATACTTTTTAACATCTTTCAAATGCTTGATTAACATTGTTTAATACATGATCAACTTTTGCCCACACATATTGTATAGTTTTTGTATAGATGAGAAGCATTTTCTTTACACACATTTAACTTTTTTCGAAAGCTTGGTTAACATGTTTTAAAAATAATTTATTAAAGTGTATTTTGTAGTATATTTATTTAGCATACTTGGAAGTATAAACAAAAGTAAAAAAAAGAAAACGTGAAAATAAAGAGGCCGTGGCCTCCCTCACGCCTTGGCCGGCCTATTTAAGGAGGCGCCAGACGCGAGAGCATGCTAGCTCTCGCTAAAAGCGAGACATAGAGCTGGCACCCATTGTGGCAGACTAAATAGGGTTAATGAGGCGTTTGCATGGCCGATTCTTTGTGATGGCCATTAGTAGGCACAATATGTTTTCTTTATTTATAAAAATAAATAATATTTTTACTTAACTTATCTTTTTAATAAGTTTAGTTATAGGAAGACATTATGTGTTGAAATAAAAAATGTTCACATGTAACAAAATAAAGTTAGTGCATTACAAATAAAATGTCTGCATATTTAGAAAAACTTCCGTAAGAAATTATGAATGTGTCGCAAAATAATATGTAATAAATGTTCATGAGTTTCAAAAAACAAGTCTGCTTATTTTTAAAGATCTTCTTATATGTGAAACAGTGTGCTTATATTTTAAAAACAATTCATATTTTAAAAATATATGACACAAAAAACAATTCATGTATATAATAATACCCATGAATTTATACAATCTAAAAATATATAATATATTAGAACCAATTGTATTTTACAGTAGCATACTCCCTCCGTTCTAGAGTATAAGGTGTGTCGATTTTCATACAAGTCAAAATTGTATATCTTGACCAAAATTATAGAATAAAATATCGACATCTACAATAAAAATTAATAAAATATGAAAAATACTTTTCGTGATGGATCTAGCGATATAAATTTGGTATTGTATATATTATTATTATTTTCTGAAAAGTTGGTCAAAGATGCACGTGTTTGACTTTGGGAGCATGAAGGGAACCACGTAAACTGTAGGCATTCTACTAAGGGCAACTCCAACGTTGTTGGACACCTCAAATGTCCGTGGACACGTTCGGACGTGTCCGCGGACACTAGTAGGGAAGGCAACAAATAAGCATCAAAGCTGGACAACAAGGTGGACTAGGTGAACCTAAAAGAGAAAATACATCACATGGGGTGTGAGAACATGTAGCCCAACTTATAATTGGTCACACGGACTATCCGGACTCCACCAGCTTTGGTTTGGGTATATAGGAACTTTGACGTTTGAGCTGGCCCGCAAACGTTTGAAGGCAAAAATTGTCTGGATCGCATTGTCCGGCCGTTTAGACGCGATTTGATGCACACCATTGGAGTTGCCCTAATAACAACCGTGCTTATCTCCTCGCAGAAAAAAAACCGTGCTTATCTAGGGCACCAAACTATCCAAAAAAAAAGTCACCCGCAAAAAAATGAAAATAAAACAAAATTTTAGGGCACCAAACAAGTTGTGCCACTTGTATCTTGAACCGACGATGACTCCAGATCGTACTTCAGTCGACAGCATTCTTTACCTCAAAAAAAAAAAAGTCGACAGCATTCTTGTACACTTGTTCCGCCTGTGGCATCTCCCATTTCCTTGGCGAGGGCACCAACCAGATCTGGCCGCCTCGGCTAGATCCAAATCGAAGGACCCCATTGCGCACCAGACAGCATTTTCCCCACTGAGCAACGAGCACCTCGGATAGCACTCGCGCTCTCGTCACGTGGCCAGCTCTTGGTCGCAGAGCCGTCGCCGCGCTGTTGGTCGCCGACCACCGTGTGGAACACAGGGACAGAGACGCACGGGGCCGGGCGCACGTCGTTGGTGGGGACGGAGCACGGGAGTACGGGACCGCGCGTGCCGCACGTTACCCCCACCCCGTTTTGCTGGAGGATAAGGGCGAGCCCGGCTCAGCCGATACGGGCGCGGGCTTACCGGCGGCATAGGCAGCCAGCCAGCGTACGTGGACGTTCGCCGCGACGTGGTTTCGCCAAGCCGGACCGCCGGCGTCCCGCTTCGCCGTCGGTGCGCGGGTTCGTTCACGTCGTGCACCGATCCCTCACTGGTAATGGCAAAGGAGGAGCGTTCCTGAGCCCACGACCAGGAAGAGAATCCGCGCACGTATAAGCGGAGTTGCGTGTCCGAACGGCCGTGTATGCAAAGGTGGAGACTGATTGGTACGTGACTCAGAGTTCCTATCTGCACGGCCCATGTCAATCATCACGAGTTTTAAAGAGAGTTCATGGTTTCTCCCTCGCCTCCGGCCACCACACGTCCAGTCCAGTCCAGTCCACGCCGCCAGCGCCCAACAAACCCGTTCCTTTCGTCTACCTGTCCGCTCCGGCCTGCTAGACCCATCCATCCATCCGTAGCACGTACTGTACCGCACGGAACCGCATCGCACCACTCGTTGCTGGTTTTTCTACCCACATGTCGCTCCAGGCCTCCAGCTAAGGGGGCCATTTCCGCCGGGAACCTGCTGAAGTTCTATGCTCCCGTGGTCCTTGCGATCAGCAGCTCGCCGCTTGGCTGCCGCCACACGCGCAGCAGCCTCGGCTGCGGTGGCGGCTCGATCACCTGCGCCGGCGCCGGCAACGTGGCAACAAAGGCCGCCTGCTGTCGACGACGACAGAGAGCACCAGCAGAGGGCCGCCGTGTGGGATGATCATCGCCGTCGACCTCGCCGGTGAGCGTGCTAACTAAGCTTGTGTTTGATCAAGAAATGTTGTCATGTTCGGTTCAGAGACTTCTCTCTGCGTCGCAATTGATCGCATGCTTGTCTGGCTTCGCCCGACTGCCGACTGCCCAATGCCCAGTTTCGTTCCCTTCTCGCGTTGCTTGATCAAGCTAGCATCCATGCTGTTTACTGGAAGATACACGAACCCATCTGCTCCTTTTGCCAACAAGTAATGATCATACTAGTACGTTGCTAATGAGTGTCGATCGCTAACTACTCCGAGTTAATGTTTATCTTTTCAACATTAACAGGCAGTAAGTTTGTACAAACCAACATTAACATAGTACACGTAGGGTAGGTTGACAAGACAGTGATCCAGTATTCCAATGGACACAGCCCGATTATTCAACTGTTGATGATGCGTCGACAGGGGCAACTCGATAAGCCATGCTCCCTTTTCGAAAGAAAAAAAAAAGATAAGCCGTGGTCCCGTCAAAAAAAAAATCGATAAGCCATGGATGGCCCGTGGCCGTGGGCCCAGGAACCAAAAAAGTCGCGAAGCCTCGCACGGCACCCACTCCAACTTCTGTGGAATCCGACGGCCAGGATCGTCCCATCAGAGCAAACCAAGGGACAACCGTCCAAGACGTCACCCCCAGCACACTCGTACAGCTGTACACTCCTACTCCACTAATCTAACCATCGACGCTTCCGCCGCTCAACGGCCCAACGACCCTAATTTATTCCGCACCTCCGCGCCGCGCCGCCCGGGCCTCGGTTTCTCCGTCGCATCGCCGTCGACCCCTCCTCGGCGCCCCCGTAAAAGCCTCGGCCATCGCCGCCCCTCCTCAAATGCCCGAGACCCCCACGACCCCTGGCGCCTACCCGTCCACACCACATGGCCCCCAGTCTCCTCCGGCCCGCCTCCCCGTGCCGCCCCCTCGCGCCGGCCCCCTGCGCCGCCGGCCCCGGCCGGAGCCCCGGCACCGTTTCGGTGAGTGAGACTCCCCCGCCTTCCCATTTCCGGGGCTTCCGCGGTTCCATTTTGCTGATTCGTGGCTTTTCCTGGGGGTGCGGCAGATCGGTGATTCAAGGGCGCGCAGCGTTGCCCTCAGGGTGGGAGGATCTGGACGGTGAGTTGGTTATCCTGTCTGAAGCGTGAGCTTTGTAGCTTTGTTGCTTTGGATGAGTGGCCAGACTGAAGAATTATCTGCGCCGTTCTGAATTTCTGCTATGATATGTTTTTGCTACTCTCCTTCTCTCGCTGGGTGGTGACGGCATGCACAAATTAGAAGTTTTTAGAGTAGTGTCTGTATGTTTATGTGGAGCTGCTGTGTTTCTGGCTGCCTAGCTCTGTAGCTTGCATGCAAGTGTCTTTACGGGTTAATTTAGCTGGTTTCTCAATTCTCACTGTCAGTAGTTTAATGTTAATGGCTCTGTTCTTCATATTTCGTCAGTGTTATGGAAGATCGAAAGAGATCCAAAATTGGGGAACAATAAATCTCGGCATGTGCGATTCTTTTTTAAGGAAGGCAGTGGTGTAATTATGCAACTTTGGTTAATGTTTCATGTCTCACTGATATATTGATTCAAATTGTAATTAGTGGTACTGTTTTCCGATGGGAAACACTACGGTAAATGGATGGACACAGTTCAATACTGCCCTGGGCTGTACTATAGCACTTTTAAATACATCTTGAGATGGTTGGTCATGGCTCATGGGTTCGTATTGCCAATATGCTAATGACTAGTTCCAACCTAGCCCTTTATGCTATCGGTTGAAGAAATGCCATTTCCTTTTCGCTCAGTTATATATAGCATTGGTGCGCATGTTTTGTTCTGTTGAGAATTCTAGGCTGGTTGATGGATTATGCTCACAACTGTGTGGTGCTATTTTTGAAATGAAATGCCAACATAGTAGCAATGCAGTATGCCTGAAATGGACAGTTTGTAAACTTAACATACTGCTGGAAAACACCGTGTTTTACGATTTGCCCACTTGATATTAAATCTTCGATTTATCCAACGGGGAACACTCTGTTGTATCATATTATGTATCACCATACTAAAAGTATATACCATCTGCAGGAGTGAATTCTCATGTACTACAAAGGCCTCAGGAGATCATTCTAGCTTAACCCGGCAACTTTTAGATTTTAAACATGATACTGTAGATGAGGTAGATGGGGGATATGATCCATTCAGTCAACTGAAAGCGAGGTTCACGGACTTCAAGCAACGAAACTACGTGTAAGTCGATCATGCAGTACATAATGAATAATTCGTTTTCAGATGTTAGATTAATATCTTTGTGTATTGACATTGTTGTATCTGTAACTGTGGTCAGGGAAAATTTTACCAATTATCAAAAACTTGCTGAGCAGCAAACACCAGAGGTATAGCATTGTAATGTTAATTCCAAGTCTTCGTAGTTTTCACAGTATTGATCCTTATTTGTATTACTTTTGATTTCATGTTCCTGTGTCCAGTTCATGGTGGTTGCTTGTGCTGACTCCAGGGTCTGCCCTACCAGTATTTTGGGGCTTCAGCCTGGTGATGCATTCACTGTCCGTAATGTGGCAAATTTGGTACCACCATACGAGGTATTACTAATTTAACATATCTTTATGCTCTGTTAAACTTTAAAGCAATGCAGTTTCTATTGTGGAAGTTCTGATAGTAAATAATGCTGCAATATAAGCATGGAGCTTCAGAGACTACTGCGGCACTAGAGTTTGCTGTCAACTCACTTCAGGCAAGAATCCTTCTTTATATGTCTTTCATTTTTCTTTCCTCCCATGCACATGACAGATCATTTGTAGTGAAGTATCCGGTATTGAGACAATTGTCTTCCTCTGCTCAGGTACCGAATGTGTTAGTGGTAGGTCATAGTCGTTGTGGTGGCATCCAAGCACTAATGAGTATGAAAAGTAAGAAAGACGATCGAAGCTCTAGGTACAATGCTCTTCCCATTTCTCCTTTTGAGATTCTGTATTTGTACTTTTACATGATGCAAGCCTGGTTTGTTTTTATTGAACAGAACCTTTATCAGAGACTGGGTCTCACTTGGCAAGAGTGCAAGATTAAGCACAGAAGCAGCAGCTGGAAATTTGAGTTTCGAATCACAATGTAGACATTGTGAAAAGGTGATTTTGCTCATATCAGTGTGATGCGTGATTGCAAGAAGCAGGAACTGTCTGAAAATATTGCTTCCAGAGTAGTGCATTAGTCTCTTGCATGGCCTTATTTATTCCATGTCATCTCAAGATGCTAGGTAGTATGCATTCAAGATTACATGCTTCTTGGTTGAATTCATATGCATTGAAGTTTTGGAATTAGATACTGTGATTTTGTAGCTCTAAACGTCAAAATTGTCTTTACATGCATGCTAAATGGCAGTTGTTTCATATGTTTGATCCATGTACGTTTCCAAGAAATTCGAGCATGTGACATAGTTGAACCTAGAGCCGTGTCTACCTATTATTTGAAGAGGAACCATCGTCGTTGTCTTACATTGAATAAATTGTTTGATGCAGGAATCAATTAATAGCTCACTGTTGAACTTGTTAACATACCCTTGGATAGAGGAAAGGGTGAAGGAAGGAAATTTGAACCTTCACGGGGGATACTATAACTTTATTGATTGCACATTTGAGAAGTGGACATTAGTGTACCGTCCAGGGCTGGAAGGTGGCAGCAAGTATGCTATAAAGAACAGGTCTACCTGGTCTTGATCAATGAACAGTCATTATTTATACTCTGGTAAAGTTCACTCTGCTTCCTGTGGTTAAGCATGGTTTTACTCTGCCATTTTGCTGCTATATTGGTTGCAACTTGCTCCAGGTTGTATTGACATAAAAACCCCTTTCACTGCAGAGGAATAAAACCGCAATGGAGTAAAGTTCGACACAGCGAACAATACATTATCACCAAAGCAAAGCTTGTAAACTGCCGGGACAAAGCGAATTCAATCCAGTTGCTATGTGTTTTCTGTCTAGAATCGTGAAACGGCGGCTAGTAAAACTGCAAAACCATAGTCAAAGGAAACAATGTATAAAGGTGCCACATTTGGCAGACCTTGTGTTGTAACATCTGTATAATGTCCATGTATCATTGTAACAATAAGATACAGCTCTGTAATGTTTGTTTTGTCAGTGTATAATTATTTTGGATGCATGTGTGACTCAAATAAACAAAACTGTGCAATGCTATTTTGAATCTGTACTGCTTCCTTTGTTGGATCATAACATCACAAATATTGTAGTAGCTCATTTCCATTCCTGTTTATTTGTGTATCGGGAGGTTTCTGTCATCTGAGAGCGATATTTCTTGCCTCCTTTTCATGACTTTCTGTACTGCTAAGATTCCCAACGGTACTAGGCTACTGTTCTGCTATCATTCATAGTGCTGCATCAGCAACTCTCTGTTCTACAGTATACCACTGGCAAACAAACAACAACCGTTTGATGCGTTAAAAGCTAGAGGCTACTGTACTGACATTTGTCTAAATTTCTCTCAGTGCCTGTACTTTTACACTGCCATTACAGAACCTGAAGGACATCATGATTCAGTGATTACAAGGCCAGCTGAACGGGAAAACACAGATCAAAGTTAATTCTGTGATATATAAAGAGCCTACTAATCCTACAGGTTGATACACGCTTGTGAATTAAACATGCTGGCACAGAGCATCATCGTGTCACTAGCTGCCTAAACCCTGGGAGATGAGCGCCGAGAAGCGCTGCCTCTTGTAGCCCTCCACGGCGAGCAGCTGATCCTCCCGGCTGAGCAGCACGGCTCGGAGCGCCGCGTGCAGCGCCGGCCGGGACGCGTCCGTCGCCTGCCCGGCCTCCAGCTTCAGGACGCTCCGGGTCCTCCCGCCGACGGTGGCGATCTCCGCGCGGACCGCCCTGGCGCTGACGGAGCGCACGGCGCGCCCCAGCTCGGACATGAGCCCCGGGCGGTCGGCGCAGCACACCCACGCCCTGACGCGCTTGGCGCTCTCCCGTGCGTCCCAGCGCTCCTCCTCCACGCCCACCTCGTCGCTCTCCCCCGGCACGGCCACCCCCGCCACCGCCCCGCCGTCTGCGTCGCCCCGCAGCTCCCGCACGTGCCGCACCACCTCGCCGAGCAGCGCTGCCTTGTCCATCTGCGCGCACGCACGCCCATCAAACGACGTGTCCGTCTCAGTTCAGTTGGCATCACCGCAACGATAACTATGACGAGCATGAGAACTAGCGAGCTCACCTGGGAAGCCGACGGGAGGAGGCTGCGCAGCGTGGCGAGGTGGGTGTTGATGCGCTGCCGCCGCTTGCGCTCCGCCTCGCTGTGGCTCCTGCTCGTCCGGGCGCCGCGGACCGGCGGCGAGCGCTGATCGTCCATCTCCACCTCCGCCTCCTCCGGCTCACCACCCCGTGTCGGCAGCACCATCTTGGACTTGGAGCCGTTTGAAACGACCGAGGGGCGGGAAGCCGGGGCGTTAAATAAGGGTGGCGCCGACACGCGCGGCTTTACTGCGTCGAGCGCGGTCGCGACGGTGTCCCGATCCGCGGCGCCGGTCGGGCCGAGAGGAGCTACGCACGGCACAAAAGCTGCGTTCGCGCGTGACGCCCTGCTGACCTTGCCACTAACCCCCCGTGTTAGAGAGAGGGGTAAAATTGAAAACGAACGAACGAGCGATCAAACGACAGCGGCGACTGCAGCTCATATACCATGTCGCCTCTTTCCCGCGTGACGTGCAACTACTTGTGACGGACGGGTGCCGCTTTTGCCGGGCCTTTGGAACGTACGTACGTGCGTGGTAATTCTATCGGAGGGGTCGACGGCGGTGAAAAAGTGTCGGCGAACAAAACTCCACTGTTTCTCCTTTAACGCCGGCGCTACACCACCATCAGATAAACGGTACTACGCGTACCGCGGGGATAATTTCATATATTTGACCTGAGGCCTAAATCAATTCACAAACTGACCTGCTTTTAAAAAAATTTAACTCTGCTGACCCTTTCGTGTGGCGCCCGACAGCTGGGCGCCGCACCCTACTGTGCAGCGCCCATCACTTAGGCGTTGCACATCCTGCCAGCGTGGCAGCCCTGGCCCCACAGACAGCACTGCAGCGCCTAAGACTTAGGCGCCGCACTGTGTATATTGTAGCGCCCGTGTCTTAGGCGCTGCACGTTGACTTAGCCCGCATCGGGCCAGACCCTCCCAGGCAGTTCTTCCAATTTCTCTGTTGTCACAGAGAGCGGCGGCGGCGGCGCCCCCTTCGGATCCCCCCCACACCCCCTCTCAGATTTGAAGTTTTGAGGCTTGGATTCGATCTCCAATCCTTCCTAGTACGTAAACTCCTCCGTTCCCTTTCTTTTCCTCCGTAAAATCGTTCGGTGTTCCAGATTAAGTTTTTTGATGTAATATTGCAATTGGAGATGATAAGTCATCCATCTCAGGAGCCATTTCCTGGTCTGACCTTCAAATGTGGAATCCTTTTCTCATCAATGGCAAGTACTTTGAAAACAACTATCAAAATTTTATTTAGTTTTACAAGTATGCAGAGAGCCGACAAGGCAGCAATGCTATTGTTCAAATGTGGTCAAGGCAGGCTTTCGGTGTTTCAGAATGAGCACACATTCATTGCAACCAAAAGAATTGGTAGTCATATCCGGTAGTATATGATTCTTGTTGTGATGGAGGATGTGTAGTCATATC